ACTAAGAACTGCATGTTGATCTAATTTTTTACCAAGATTTAATTGACAATTTTTAGTACAAATTAAATCCTATACCATTTCAATTAGAATTTTAGATTCAAAAAGTTGACAAATGGAGAAATATTGACATCTTGTACAAGTTGCAAGTTTCACCCCTCCCCCAATTTAGGCTCACTGAGAGTCTTAAATTTTGTAATGTATGTTATTAATATATGTTATTTTTGTAATCTGATGGGCTGTATTGCCCAAAGTTATATCCTGAATAAGCTTATATACATTCTGCTGCAAAGTAAAGACTCTAAAAATAGATTGAAAGTTTATCCTAATTTTTGATATTCACATCTCGGTTTATAAATTAAGTATTACAATACAAAAATTTAGATTTCTGATGAATTACACAGTGCTTGTCAGTGAATTTTCATCTTGATTTTTGGGTAATTTTAAAAGTATTTGTTTGGGACTGGGTCCTAGCTGGCTTCTAATGGACCTACATGCATCAGATATATACACATGTATACATAGCAATAGATACATGCAATCTCTATAATACAATGAAATTAATGGTGTTTACTAGTTAGGTCAACTGTCATTAGGTGTGTTGGGTTTCATGGTTTTTTTTTTATGTACATGTACAAAGATTGCTGTTGAGGTTGGTCAGTTAAAAAAAATGTAATATACAAGGGATATTTTAAAGTGATTAATACATACAATATTTGGAATTAAAGATATGATTGTCATCTTCATTATCTCAAACCCTCAAAAGTTTCAGAAATCAAGCAACTGATCATGCAGCTATACTTTTTAAGGAGGCTGGGGGGTTGACAAATTGACCATCAGATATATAACTTAATTTTTTTAGATATGATATCTTGAGCTGTCAACTATCATTTGGCAAACAAAAATTTCATACATTTTAGTTTTAAAATTTGATCATTTTTGTATATCTTTATTTGGAGCTCTTCTTCTAAAGGAGATCAATATAGTCTGAAAATGGCCACAACCACCCAGCCCTCTTAACTGCATCCAGTCAATATGCCTTAATTTCTTTGAAGTAGTATACTTATTATTTTGTGATATTTAGGGCCTTTCCTGGAATGCGGGAAAACAATTAGAATCACATTGTCCATCCATCAACACTTTGTTTTTACACGATAAGTCAAACAATTGTTAAATTTTGTACAGAAGTTAATTCTTTACAATGAAAGGAGAACCTATATCATACAATCAAATTATACTTGTGAACAGTCTGGGTAATTGGGAGTGATCCAGTTGTTGATAGCAGATTTAATTTTATTTAATTTTTTTTTTTAATAATATAAATTGTTTGAAAGTTAGCATTAATAAAATATTATCAGGTGGAGATGTAAATGGAAGGATTATTAGTAGGCTGTACATGTATGAACATCTCCACTGACAGAACCAGAAATTAATCTTTTCTTTTTTTTTTTTTCTTTTTTTTTTTTTTTTTTTACAGATTGTTTTGTTTTACCCCTTGATTTCTTCTGCTGCCATTTTCAACATACACTCATTTAGGTGCTGGTTCCAAGGAAACAACTGAATCAATGCTGTTGGCTTAGATGTGATTTTTAAGTTAACCTAATTTTTTTTTATACTGCTCTCAAATTTTATGCTATTGTTAGTGCATAACGAACAAGTGTAGATGCTGGAATTAATGAGAGTACATGATAATGAATTCTTTCATCTGCCTTTTTTAAATTTCTAATTTTATTTCCTTATAATATTTAAAATCAAAAATACATTACATGTGTTTACAATTTAATAACAGGTATTAGGGATAAAAATCTTAAGTTGTGGATCCAAAGGAAGAGGAACTTTTTCTAATCACATACAATGTATGTATTGATTTAATTTGAAGAAAAAATATTCAAATATAGATCCAGAGAATTTTGTGGTGGATCCAAGGGTCTAATTTTTTGAGAGGAGGATCCAAGGGGAGTGGGAAATATACTATGAATTAAAAAGTTTGAGATATTAAAAGTATTTTATATTTAAGAGTAAATGATTTTTGATATACATGTTAAACCTATGAATAATTGAGAACATCAGGCATGTCTAATGTTCATGGCTCTTTATTGAAAGGGAGAGGAATGTAGCTTTATCTTATAATATGAAGTTTTGTTTTAAACATAATGTCAAAGTTACATAACTTTAAGCTCAATATAAGTGAGTTATATAGATCCAAAGAATTAAGTGATGGATCATAGGATCCAGGTTTTTGAATTAGGGATCCAAGGGGAGTGGGGAATATTTTATCAATTTAAAAAAAAGAGATATTCATGAAAGAAAATTTGAAAATAGCTATGTAACTCTTCTGTATGGGAGATCAGAAAATTTATCCTTTATATGAATGATCGAGTCATATATTATATATAGGTTTGAATTATATATAGATTCAAAGAATTTAGTGGTAGATCCAAGGGTCTATTCTTTTAAGTGGGGGATCCAAGGGGAATGGGACATAATTTTTTAATTAATTTATAAACAGCATTTGCATATCCTTATATTTGAAAACAAAGATATTACGTGTGTTTACAATTTGATAACAAATAATAGGGAACAATTAAATTTTAATTAAGTTGTGGATCCAAAGGAAGAAGAACTTTATCTAATCACATATGTATTAATTTAATTTGAAGAAAAAAATATTCAAACATAGATCCAGAGAATTTTGTGGTGGATCCAGGAGTCTAATCTTTTGAGAGGGGGATCCAAGGGGAGTGGGGAATATTTTATGAATTAAAAAGTTTGAGATATTAAAAGTATATTTATTTTAAAGTAAATGATTTTAATATGTTAATCAGGTCTCAAGAATAAATGTTTTATGTTCAGGCTGTTGATTGAAAGTGAGAGGAACATACCTTTATCTGATAATATAAATTATTTTTTGATTTCAACAAAATGATATCAAGTACACGTACATAACTTAAGCTTAACATGAATGAGTTAAATAGCTCCATAGAATTAAGTGATGGATCCAAGGATCCAGTTTATTTGGGGATCCAAGGGGAAATTTGAAGGAAAAAAAAATATGAAATAAATATTGAAATATATATAGCAATGGTACTCTTCTGTATGGGAGATAAGAAAGTTTATTCTTTATATGAATAAGTCATATAGAAAATATATCTATGTAACATGAATCATACATAGATTCAAAGAATTTATTGGTGGATTCAACGGTCTCTTCTTATGAGTTGGGGATCCAAGGGAAGTGGGACATACCAAGATAATTTATGAATTAATTAATAAACAGAATTTGTTATCTCTAAGAACAAATGATTTTGCTATACTAACAAGGTTTCAAATATATTGAAAAAAATGAGGAGCAGACATGTCTGAAATTATTATATCTTGGAAATAAGTTTGAAAATAAGACAAAACAATGATTAATGTCTCCATTCCAATTCTCATGAAATCAAAGATATATAATGAAGATTACATGGTTTTTTTTACCCTAAGTAACAAAAACGTGGGGGAAAAAAACCCACATGTAATTTTTAGTCATATATGGGTTTAAAAACCCCACGAAAGATTATATGGGTTTATTTCCCCCATGGGGAAAATTTTAAACCCCATGGGATTTTTGTAGGGTTTTTCATGGGGTAATTTTAAGTACATGTTTCCCCATGGGATTTTTATCTTTGCCACTTAATATCTCAAAAACTAGCTAAAAATGTTGGATTTTTTATTTCATAAATCAATTTAAATATAAAAACCCCACCATTTAAAAAAAATCCTAAGATAATAGCTTTAAAGGAAAAGGGTGTGCAAGTTCGGAAAAATGTCCATTCCGAAGTTGTCTGTCCCACTGTTATGTGCATTTAATTAGTTCTCAAATGCATATTAAGTTTAAAGAAATGAGCCGTATATGCAATAAAAAAACCATGAATCCATTCTTTCAACAAAACATCGTTTTATGTAAAAGTCTATTTTTGGATTTAATTTATTCTTGGGTGTACATGTAGCTACTGGCTTATACATAAAACTTAATATATAGGTTTTTGAACCTTTTGCCTTCGAGAATGATACAAAAACATATTTGAAAATCTGGTAATTCGATACTATAGCTGAAGTCACATTATATAAAAATTAATAATAAAAGGATATCCTGTTTTGATTCATTCAAAACGTCACACCATCGTTCGTAGAAACATGATTTCGGCTGCCATATCAATTATTTTATCAACTTTTGTTCGCTTTTCTTTATCTTGGACTGTTATTATTTTCTTAAAAAGAAGGAAGAAAAAATTATATGCTGAATATTTATGATAACTCTATTATGAAGGCATAAAACAAAATTCTATAAATTAATATTAGAAAAATTCATTCATTTTTTGAGGTCCCCTTAGCCATTTGCACCAATTTAGAAGATGTATTCCTGTATTTTTGTCTAGATATACACGTATATGGATAGATGACTTTTCACATTTTCGCCATCTCTAATGTCACTGAACCAATTTCAGTATATTTGCGACAAAGTGTACTTTTTGAAGGAGGTCAATAGGAAGAATAACTCATGTTTCAAGGGGGACGATTTATTTTAGTACTGAAGAAGGAAAGGTCATTTTTAATTGTTCTTCTCACTGACCTTTCAGTCAGATAGGATTAAACTTACAGAAGTTTCCATTAGTAGTCATCAATCAGTGTAGGATGTTCCATTTTGTGTACAAGTTTTTTTTAAAAACTAGAAACTTCGCTATTGCTAGCAATCGAGTACATCTTTATTCTCCGTTTCCCTGGCAACAGCAGTCATTTTGAAAATTCCTACGGGCAAAATTAGGCAAACAATAAAAATATGTCGCCCGACTTCTTTCTGGGTGACATGTGGAGTTAAGGTCTGCCAGTAAGGAAGCAAACGTTTACACAGATAAATTCATATAAAATATCCTGTCTTCTTTTTTACAGAAGATTTCTGCTAAAAGACTTATTTAAACCTAAAAAAGAACCTATGTTATATAATATTCTTTTTCATTTCTAAGGTGTTGTGTACAAAACATGTTCAGAGAAGGGGGAATGGATGAAATCTAATTATCAGAATTGTCGAAAGCTAAATTTTGTAAGTAGAACGGTTTACTTGTTAATTTAATCATAGACTTATTATGCAACTTTGTTTTCAAAGACAATTTTCATTTTGCATAAAGCACATAATAGATGATGACTTACATGCTTATTTCTATATGGATTTCTTTAAGCAAAATAAAATTAATTGTTTCTCATAAACCCAAAAGGTTTACTGGAAAGGCACTTGTAGTCCCTTTTTATTAAAGATATAACCTTTCTCATTGTGTGCTCAGTAATATCACATATAATGTACCTTATTTGCTGGTTAATAAGTGATACTGCTAGAAGCAGTTTTGGCTTCTATTGTATGGAGATAGAACCTTTTTAATAATATTATATTACAGTAATCAGTGTAACAAAACTCGAAGTTTGAATAATGCAAATATTCATTCTTCTGAAAATGTTATGAGTATCTCGATGACCCATCACACACAATAACTGAACTCTTTATAACCTCTAACAGTTTCCTTTAGGATGAAAACATGTCCTTAACAATGAATCGTTTATTGTTCTTTGTATTAAGGAATAATTAACGATGGGCAGAAACGGACACAATATATACAAGAACACTCTACATAAACAAAAGAATTTGTGGTCTTTTGAAATTAATGAATCACAAATTTAAAGAAATGCAAAAAAGAAAAATATTCAAATCAGCCGTACTAGGGTTTTAAATTGTACAAGAAAACATTGCATAGTGTTTCACTAGACAAAAGGAATCATCAATATTTATTTAGTTTCTGATCTTTCTAAGATGGCTTGTATTACAGCGTGACTTAAATTTGTGACTGAGTATTCAAAACAAGTTAATAATGGGTAAATGTAAAGTAGTCACTAATGTGGAAATTATTGTTATCGTCATGGCATGAATCGCGTGCCCGATGTAATTTTTATTTTCTACAAATAGGAAGAAGATGAGGCTATGGCTCCTGTGTATGTCTTTATTGGAGGATATTCTGTATCCATCATTCTTTTAACACTATCACTTTTCATTTTCTATTATTTCCCGTAAGTATTCAGGCAATACTTCGATAAATGGAGTAGATCTTTGCATGAAGACTATGCTATTTATCGTTAGAAAATAAATGAAAGAAAGAAAAAAAATATTTGATGCTTTTTATGCTCAATCAATATGCTTTAATGCGTATGTACAAACAAAATCAGACACGAAGCTGTTTGCTTATTAATTTTTTATGTGTTCACGAAGAGCTTGAGTTACGTTATCACAACATGATCAAATATCTATTATTGTTTTATGCAGAACCATTTGCATAATCTACAGTACAAAATTCACATTCATTTGCCAAAAATTGTCAACAAGTACTTCCAAAAGTTTTCATATATATTTTTTGTTTTCTTATAAAAGTTTGGGATATATGACCTAAAAAAAAATAGATTAGCAACTCATTTTTTAAAGTGGGAATAGTAAGGTTTACAAAGAATTTATGATTTGTTTGAAAGAAAAGTATAAATAAATACTATAAATGTACTTGGTATGTATAATTGAAGGCTACATAAACATGTATGCACGCGGTCACAAACTTTCCGCAGAATTAAATTTGTTAAAGCGTACTCAAAGTGCAAAATTTAAAGCATAAAAAGGCAACAAAAGAAACGTGTTCTCTACTTGCAGATTGAACAGAAATTGTGATACTACGGAATTATGATCCCGTGCAAAAAAAAAGTATGTTAACAGTAAGCAAAAATATCTATGATACCAAATTAATCGAGCAGTATGTTTTTTTTCCTTTTAAGTCAGCTACAGTGTGGACGCGTGACCATCCATAAAAACCTATTTCTCTCCTATATTCTGACTGGGATCAGTTGGATTCTTTATTACGTCGTGGTCACATTTGACGGAGATGTTCTTCTAAGAAATCCGGTCAGTGTTATGACTCAATAATAATATACATGATGATAAGTCAGACGCCTGTGTTTCTTAAGAGCTTTAGAATTCGTATTAGTTATTTTATTTGGAAATTGATGTATTTTTCTTACATAATTATGTAGGAAGTAGGCTTTAAAGTTAGCTCTGTCATACTCATTAAAACAACCCTTGTTATTAAAAAATGTCATTGACTCAGATAAAAAAAAGATGAAATTTGCTAATTACAATTCATCGATATTTTTGAAATTTGTAGGCGTTGATATATTTATATTTTCTTTACATGGATTTGCAAAAGCAGTGACCAATGCTTTATATATTTTACTTCACATCACAGCAAGCTTTGGCAAAGGAAAAAGAACATTCAATTAAATTTGACCCTTTCTTTACTTTGATAATGCAGTGAACTTGTTCTTAATGAACTCTAGTAAAGGAAAATCTTAGTTATAGGGAAGTTTAATCTTTTCTCCATCCCACTATATAAAAAAAAACAATGTCAATTTTGAGGAACTAAAGTTTCAAAACCCTACACTTCCTTATAAGCAAGTTTTACCGTATAATATCTCTATATCCATTTATACTATTAACAGGCTTGGTGTCAGGTTCTTCATGTAATTACGTACTTTTGTATGGTATGTAACTACTTCTGGATGTTTTGTGAAGGTTTCTATCTTCATACCATCCTCCTTAGAGTATTTGGCACCGGAAGGAGGCTGATTGTTATGTGTCACGTGACCGGATGGGGTAAATAGTTTATACAACAAAATAAATTGATCCTAAATTCATAATTACACTTGCTTTGAATTTTAAAACGATTCTTATACTATATTTACATGTACTGCATTTTATGAACACGAACTTTTTCTATTTAGAATTAATTTCAATGCATTCAGTCATCTGTGCTTGATAGTAAACTTTTTCATTTTCGAATAATTCTTAGTATTTCCAATAATACCTACTGCAATATACGCCACGATACGAAGTTATGATCCATCAAAAAGTATAAAGTAAGTTTTCCAAAAAGTATAAATTAAAAGTTTTATTCCATCTCAACGCATTGATAATTCAAATAAGACCTATCCTACATTTCCATGTGTGTAAACATATCTGGATTTACACCCACTATATTCTAATGGCAGTTCATTGTTACATGTATATTCATATGCAAATTGCAAGATTCAAACATCAAGGTTTATCGTGACAAACTCCACATTATCATCGTTTGATAGGTGTTGGAACCCTTACAGCGATTACCTTTGGATTATATATGGTCCCATTATTGGATCACTACTGGTGAGTTTTTTTTCCTATCAGATATGTATGTTAATATGCTGTCCGTGAAGGTTCATCTTGGATTATGTATATATTTTTTTAACATTTTCGATTATAAGTATCGAACGTATCATTTAATGCAACGCTCAGGGGATGTCCTCCTAAGAATCTTTAACGATCAAACGTTGAGATTACTTTGATGTGAGATTAGTTATAATGGTTTCAAGACTAGGATTATCATTATTCATAGTTCTAACGAGGTAAACCTTCTTTCATGGAAAGAGAACAGAATAGATTCTGAAATTACTTCTCCAACTTTTCTCTCGTTTGTTATTAGTAACCATACACGGTTTTAATAATATTTCCCGACGGTATGGCTTTGTATGTTATAGAAAATGTGTTATCAAAGGGAAGGATATACACATAGTGTTAAATCTTTGTTTCTTTTCAGTTAAATGCCTTTTTCCTAATCAACATTGTTCGCCTGCTTATGACAAAACTGAAAAGAGTTCCAGAAGCTGCTCAAACAAAGTAGGAGTTGTTTTTTTAATATCTACAATGTATAGTTGTATAGTTGTATTTACAGGATAGCATCAAAAAAGAGAGAAAAAAAGCTTACAATTAAACTTTAGTTCACTTCTTCAAACCGCACGGGACATTTGGAAAATCAAGACTGCGACTTCATATGACATCATATGCAAGTTATTTGCACTTCCATAACAGAGGCTCAATGGTGCAATATTTGTATTGTAGAGAAGATGCAATTATTATTTATTTGAACTTTCCTTTAAGCTCTCTGTAAGAACTAGATTTTCACGATAATTGCGATACTACCGTGTCTTTTGATTGTGGAAGCGAAAGAATTCTCGGAATGTTTCACAAAAAAGTTGCTTCAATGTGCAGATCACGGTTCGAATTTCCTCTGTTCTTATAAGTCAGTCTATATAGCTTGTTCCTCTCGATATTAATTAAATATATACAGTTATTTTATATTGTTTTTAAAGGTCAGTGAGTCTCTCTGATAAAAGAGATAACTCTAACTGGAATAAATGACTATTATTCATTTATAGAATTGTTCAGTATATAGGCCAATTTTGTTAATTTTTGCCCTGCAAGGTGGTATACTGCATTGTGTGCATTTAACATTATGAATGATATTTCTTGTAAATGATTGGCGTTGCAGTAAAGGACAAGGTATGGTCCTTTATTTGATATAAAAATGAAAACACAGTTTAAATTGAGATATTTTGCAATTACGAACTTTAAATTATGCTTATTTTATAACCAGTAGTGAATTTGATTCAAAACGTACACGGAGGCCACAAGAGGGTGACAAAGAGGAACATTCTACCGAATTTTCTCAATTCTGATGGAATTTCGTCACGTCTGACATACTCTTTAACTCTGAACACAGAGAGCACAAGCTTGCCTATCATATACAAAATGTATATAATACTTGTCTATGAAATGCATAAATTTGATAATAAGATTGGCAAGTTTTTGCTCTGTTTTTCCCGACACAAAACTTGCTTTAAAATTGATGAGAATTTGGGGAAAAAAAATAGAAAATTCGGAAATTGAATAATTTGTGCATTAAATTATGTGAACTCCTTGTATGCTATCAAATGGAATTGATTATCATTTTGTAACAATGATGATAATTTTTTTTAATATAAAGTATTGCATCATGTTTAAGACACCCTAAACCGGGTACCGTCGCCCGCTTGGCGTAGTGGTTAGAGCGTTGTGTAAGGAGTTGATCCTTACGTCGCGGGTTCGAATCCCACTGCGGGACGTGGAGACCGGTCCTTTGTATGAGACCGTACAAACCGAGGTCCCGTGTCGCAGTAGGCGTTGGCACGAAAAAGATCCCTCACCGCTCAATGTCCTTGAGTGCCGAGTATAAATCAAAATTTGCAGCCTTCCATCAGCTAGTGGTGGCGTCTCCATTTGAGTGAAAAATTATCGAGAGGGACGTTAATCAACATACAAACAAACAAATAAACCAGGCATCAGAAAGGGTCTTAGCATACCTTGTCCTTTTATATGAACAGAGGGGTAATAAACCTAAAAAAAAAAATATAGATCTGTTCACTGTAGTTTTAAAATTTGCTTTAAATGTTTTAGAAACAATATGAAATATGTAAAACATATACAATGTAGATATAAAAAGGGTTGTGTGCCAATTAGACAAATTTTTCTGCGATTTGGTCCTAAAAGTAAGTTCTTCAAAATATTTTAGTTTGATGGTATATTTGTTACCACTTATGATGTACAAAAGTTATAAATAGATCTTTGAATAAAACTTACAAATTTACTATTTTTAGTATAAAAGTAAAGAGAGATATATTTTCATCTTAGAGGTTGCCAGAAAATATAGGAGAATTTAGGTTTTAGTGTTACTTAAATGTGCTAAAATAAAGAAGAGAAAATATTTTTGTTTTCTTCGTTTAACAAATGTACAGAAATGGGATAAGCATGACAAATCAAAGATTTTTTCAACTGTTAGATAAGTAATCAAGTTCGAAACTTTAAAGAAAATTGACAATAAATTTAGTATATTAGTTTATGGTTTGTTTGTTTTTTTTTGCGTGTGTGTGTATGTGTGAGTGTAACTTTTATTTTATTTATTATTTTAGGAAAGCAGCCAAAGCCACATTGGTTCTAATACCATTACTTGGTCTTCACAATCTTCTTTTACCTGTTCGTCCAGAGGACGGTTCTTCAATGGCCGAGGTTTACACTTTTCTTATTGCAATTTCTTTGTCTCTTCAGGTAAGTCGAATAAAAGTCTGCTCTTTATCACAAGATACGTTACAGTATCAATTTCATACAAAATAGAAACGGTAATATTGTGAGATTTTTAATAAGTGTTGGAAAACAAAGTATGCAAAAATTACATGTACATGTAGTTGTTTACATTATTCTTGTTATTTCAGGGGTCTTTCGTGGCGGTTATTTTTTGCTTGTTCAATACTGAGGTGAGGGATTATATTGACGGCAAATGATTGTGAAATAATTTACAGTTCATTGGCTTTTACCGGTATTTAGCCATTTATGCCATAATTTCTTGTGAGGAATGGATGCTTTGAACAAAGTGTCCTTGATCTATCTAATTTTTTTGAAAAGCTGGATTAATTTCTCCCAAAGAAACGTCATCTGGATATGTTTATAAAACATATTTGCCCTGTCCCTTGAACAATACTTTAGATAAGGGATGGCAATCAGTAATCAGTTAACCGGTTACTCCGTCGGAACGTTGATAATCGGTTAAAAAAACTGTAATTGGTTAATGGGAAAAATATGTGTAAAGTTTTGCAATTTCCAAAAAAAATAAATTTTGATTTAAAAATAACCCACTGTACGTTGATAAAGTAGCATTTTCACATAAATTTGGAGATAATTAAGGTGATCCGGATTTAGATTGTGGAGTATTTGGTCAGTATTTCTTTAATGGTAATATTTAAATCACCGTTGATTATTACTAAAACATATTATATGAGTAATGTTTATCTTAACCTTTTTTTCTTTGCAGTTTCTTGTAAATTCCATTATGTTATTAAACTTTGTAAATTTAGTGATAGTTAAGACTAAGTTCTGATTTTGGCGATAATGCAGAATAAGAACAACGCCTTTTTCAGTGTTTTTGTATAAGTGAATAGAGAAAAAGAACTTACCCTAAGAATAAATCAAGAAAATGTGTATTTTGATACGATTGACCGGTTTATCGGTCGATACGTCTTACGGTTAACCGATGGGCAAATCTGTATTTGATTTCTACCCCTACCTTAAATAAAAACATACCGATATACTGGTTGTGGCTAAACTTTATTGTTAGATTTAATTTTAAAACTATCATTTAAATATTCCCGTGATATTGTTGAGACCACATCTGACATAGAATTCGTCAGTAGTGTCAATCATTATCTTGAAAATCACAAGGATCATATCATGATTACCGGTATGTCTTAATTATAACCTTATTATAAATCAAATTTTAACGACTTAATATAAGTGGATTTCTAGGATATTGGTTTGATACCATTTGATGTATATGTAGTTATGGTAGTAAACTAAGTGGCTTCTGACCTTTTAAATGTCTAAACCGTAAAACTAATGGCTAGTTTTTACAACGATTCTCAAGATATTGGTCGAAAAATATTGGAAAGCCGACAATCACCTTACCTTCCAAATGTAAAGTAACATGCCAATTTACTTCGAGTGGAAGAGGGAGTGGGGTGTGTGTGTGTGTGTGTGTGTGTGTGTGTGTGTGTGTGTGTGTGTGTAGAGATTGTAAAAGAAATATGCATGACAGGAATTTGTGTTATTATTTTTGCATACCTGTATTTGTAAAACTATAAAACATAGATTTCTTATTTACGGTTTAATTTTCTTGAATCAAGGTTACAACGATATTAAAGAGGAAATGGCAGCAACACATGTTAATGAGAGGAACGCCATGTATAAGAATGGGTAGCACTCACGTCACTACCTACTCAATGACAGAGAACGGACAGGCGGATATTATATCGGAGAATTTCATGGGGGTAATATACTTTAGCGGGGAGGGGAGTAGGGGGTTACCCATAATATACTTCACGGATCAGTTTACCCATAATATACTTTACGGGGGAGTTAACCCATATACTTTACCGGGGTCGTGTGGGTTAATGGTTTCCAATTATATACTTTACCGGGGGTGGGGTGGGAGTTTCCCAAAATATGCTTGACTGGGGGGTTACCCATAATATACTTTACGGGGGGTTACCCATAATATCCTTTACGGGGGAGGTTACTCATAATATACTTTACGGGGGGCGGTACCAAAATATACTTTACGGGGTTACCCATAATATACTCCACGGCGGAGGATACCCATAATATAATTTACGGGGGGTACCCATTTTATACTTAATGGGGGGTTACCCATAATACGGGGGTTATTCATAGCATACTGTACCGGGGGGGGGGGGGTACCGATTATTCATTTAAAACGGGACTCTATTTTAATTATTTCCTTTTTCTAATCTTAAGCGAAAATATTAATGAAATTCAATCACAATTCTATGTAAGTGACCACTAAAAGTTTTTAAATAACATGTAATTGGACAGAATACATGAATTTTTGTATTAACCTGTATAACCACTCTTAAAAGACTATTTCGTATAATTTATTTTTTCTTTACATTTGTAGGAATCTAAAAGGAGTCGCCCTGTGAATGTCTAGACCTCGGACGACGCGAATGGAGTGTTAGTTTGAAAATTGATGTTCATACGTCCAAGTATATTGGAATCCATTGTCTGTTCCCGCTTTCACTCTTAACGATATTGAAAGTAAAATTTTTAAAACAAATATGGTGTTTTGGTTTAAATATTAAGTAGGGTATAACTTTATAGTAAGAAGTCGAAACTTTTTGGACATTAAAAATAGCAAATAGAATAAATTAGCAATTCATCCTTTTCTCCATCTAAAATAATGCAGTTTTTGTCCAAAAAATTTATGTATTATAAACTACATTGTGCGGTTGCTATAGGTTTAAAAGACCTAATCGAAGTAGACTGGGAATAAAAATAAAGTAATTTAAAAAATACAAGAAGTTATATGTGGTAATTTATGTAATTGTTTATAAATTTAACAAAAATAAATTTTGTGTCTAAGAAATAACCAGTTCTGTTGAATGTGCACAAGTAACCGGCCTCAATTTATTTGTGTATGACAGTTTGTGATTGTTTTTGTAGTAAAACTTGTTTCTCGGTTGTATATTATGCAGGTTTTCCCAGTACTTGTGCTTATTATGCATTGTTTAGATAATTATCCATCTTATCATAAAAACAGCAAAAACATTATCACAAATTAAACAATGCACATTTGTGATGGTACATATTGTCGTTTTGTACATATTGTCGTCGGCAACAATATGTATCTACCCTCACGGTACATATTGTCGTCCATCGGTACATATTGTCGCCGGCGACAATATGTACCGAGACGGGCATTATTTTCCTCCTGCATAAAGGACGACAAAATGTACAGTCAAGCACCAACACATGTTGTCGGCGACAATATGTACAGTCAAGGTCGGCATATATTGTCGTCGATATATAGTTTTGACGAACATTTACTTGAGAAAGGAAAGAGGGATTGACAAACACAAACGTACAGCATTACTCGCAATACTGTAGGGAGAAAACTTTTTGGTCAGAAAATTGTGTCTAGGATTTATGTACTTCACTGTGATATTTCATAGATACCATAATTCTTGAGATATTTGAAAAATCAGCCTATTCGTTTTTTTGGTACTATATACTTGGAGATTGAATACATGTATTAGTTTGGGGTTTTTTTGTTCAGTAGTTATGTTTATTTGGAAATCATCAAATCCGTGAATAAGGGGGATTCAAGTTTGTTCAAATGAAGGACCAATCCCTCTTTCAAGGAGATAGGAATTGGTGATAATTTAGTGACATCTTTTTAAAATCTTCTCAAGAACCACTGTTACAGAAAAGTTCAACTTATGTGAAAGCTTCATTATGAAGTGTAGATTCAGTTTTATTCAGATCATGTCCATCAGGGGAAGGGTGTGTCTACAAAAGGTGATCAAAGTTTTTCATAGAATATTTAGAAAAAATTCTTTCAAAATCTTTTTTCAAGAACTACCGCGTCAGAAGAGATGATTCTTATGTGAAAGCTTCATTACATAGCGTACGTTCAATTTTGATGTGCTAGATGGCACGAAAAAGATATCTCACTGCTCCATGACCCTGAGTGCCAAGCATAGGCACCATTCTGAAATTTCTGGATCCACTGCGAAACAGCAGCAGGCCTGTGATTAGTGATGTTTATATGGAAGCATCCTCAGGTAGCGTAGACTCAAGTATTTTTAAATCAAACCGGGGCTTGGGTGGGGCCACAATGGTGATCAAAGTTTTACATAGGAATATATGGGAAAGTTCTTTAAAAATCAGTGGTGGATCCAGGAATTTCATAACGAGGGGGGCGCAGTAGAAGGGAGGGGGGACTGGGGGTTGCATTGAAGCCCCCAGTCGGTCTAGGGCAAAGCCCTGGTGGGGGTCGAAAGCCCCCGGAAGCTGACGAACTCTTACAAATAAGAGATGCTTTTTTCCTTGATTTTAGGATAATGGACATATAAGTTCAACATAGAAAAATTCAAACGGGGGGAGGGGGGGGGGGGGCGTGCGCCCGGCGCGCCGACCCTGGATCCGCCTTTGAAAATTATCTTCTCAACAATAGCAAAGCCACGATTAGTCAATTTTTATGGAGCATTGCCGTGCATTGTCTTGCGACATGTTCTGATGGACGACAATATGCGCAGTGAGGGTAGGTACACATTGTCGCCGGCGACAATATGAACAGGACGACAAAATGTACCGTCACAATCACGCTGCATGAATAGCATACGACACACGTCAGTGTGATTCACACACCAATTACATTCACGAAACTACCAAAAAACAACAAAAGAAATTTTTAAGCAACGATATCTGTGGGGCGACAATATGTACAGTGAGGGTGAGGCACATAATGTCGCCGGCGACAATATGTACATGTGTAACTTTTCAGCCGGCGACATTATGTACTGATCGACGACAATATGTGCAGTGAGGGAAGGTACATATTGTCGCCGACGACAATATGTACAAAACGACAATATGTACCGTCACAACATTTCTTATTTACTGGCAAAGGTTCCACCATCCCCCGAAGGTATATTTTCTTCTACGTGAAAAGGGAAATTTTTGCTGTAAGTGTGGATTAAGCTTGTTTTTGCCAGTAAATAACTGCTCTATTATAGAAAAAAAAAACAAACAAAACAAAACAAAACAAAAACTGTACCAAATATAACTCGAGATAATCGATATGCGCTATGTAAAGTTTTAAGTACACACATGTAGCTGTTACAGTAGTATTTGGTTAAGTAGGTATTGTATATATCAATGCTATAAATGTTTAATTTTTCAATCTCAGAACGATGCACTCTGTGCTATTTTGTCAATACGGACATCAGCCACTGCAGTTTAGAAAACAATTCTCATGATTTAAATAATATTGATGGAAATATGATTCATATTGAAGACAAACAAATAATATTTGGCATGTGGCAAGCAATTTATTGCAATCACTGAGATTAGATTACGGATTCTCTACAGCGGAACCTGCAAAATGCATTAGCTAATGATCACATTTGTAACTATGCAAGGTTGGAAAATGTACATGTTTGCTATAAATTGCATAAATTTATGTGTTTTTTTTTTCCTGAAAATGTAAGCACAGATGGAATATGATGCAATGAGTTGATATTATTTATTTTAAAATAACGTAAATTTATTGATCAATTGAAAGTGTGCAAATTGTCCAAATTTGATGATGCCATTAACTAAACAGTCTCATTATCCACTTAGATACAGCCTGAGTCTTCTAGCATTTGGGTGGCTTGGCCAACTCTTTATAATCACACTTCTATGTATAATTGTAATTCTTTGTATAATTGTTTAAAAGACGTTAATGGTAATCTAACAACAAAGCTTAATGATAAACGTGATGGCTTTTACTTTCAATCGTCAACTTCCCTTACTTATGCAACAATATGTACCCTTATCACCTGCATATGGGGCGTATATCTCTCAGTAGATTCGATACGCAAGAGATGCTCTACGTATGAGCAATTTCTAAAACGAGGTAAGTGATTGTCAAACACGTTGATGAAACAAGAATATAAACAGTCTCGTTTAAAGTTATCATTTCGTAAGTTCTATGACCTTGTCAGCAAATAAATCTATCATTAAGTCATATGCTCACTGACGTTTTTCATACTTATTATTAGGTTATTATTTACACACTGAATTGTCGACGGATTTTTCTGTTATTTCCCGATCATGACAAGGAGCACATGGCGGGTCTGACCGGTCGGCAGGGGATGCTCACTCCTCCATGGCACCTGATCCAACCTCTGATGTTTTTGGAGGTCCGTGTGTGCTCTGCTCTGTTTTGTTTTAATGGATTTGAGCTTAATACTGTTCCTTATCTCCATATTTCATTACTCAAAAAAAAAAAAAAAAATAAAATAAAATAAAAATAAAAATAAAATAAAATAAAATCATGTCTTGCTTGTTTCCGCTAATCTTTTTGATTCAATAAATAGAAGACAAGATCAAAATATCATTTACACATTAAATTAATTCTCCTACTAGTTAGTAAATTGGAAATAAATGGCTGCATTCTTTACCAAATTATTATAAGAAGTATAGAGGATAACCGAAATACCAACACACAAGTGCGTAAGGGGCAACGAAGTTCTTGTGTTGAACATAAGTTTCCAAAAAGTGCAAATGCTTTTCAACCAACATGTGAACAGGGAATGATTCAGAAAATATCTGTTCACCCTAATTCCAAAACATTGCTCCCTGTTTGATAGTAACTGGCACAGTACTTCAGGCCGTCAGTCCCCCTCTCCTCCATTTAAAAGAAGTTTAGGGGTACCCATGTATGGCTTGAGCTTGTTCCAGAGATGCTCTGGGATATTCCTAGGATTCCCATATCCGCCGGTCACTTAAATGACAACGCCTCAAATAAAATATTTGTAACAACTATGAGTTGTGAGTCAAAATGGCATGATCTGAATCAATAAACTTAGTCAATGTGAAACGTTGTCTTTCCATAATGAAGGTTTGAATGACGATTTCGTTCAGGTTTATCATAGAGTCTTGTACGAAAGCTGTCGTATTGTTTGTGATGGACTTTTGGGTGTGGTTTATTCCCGTCTTTTATTTAACGTGTTGATTCTCATGGATAAACAGTCATGTTACTTTTTATGTGGACTGCCTAGTGTGAATTTTTCTGGGTGTTTAAATGTTGTTTTCACTCTCAGGCATCTACTTTAATCTGATGAACAATACAGTTGAATCTAAACATGGAAAAAGTATTCCTTTTGAAGGAATGATAGGCATGGGATCATAAAGTTAGCATTATGAAATGTCTTGAAATAAGTTTGTAGACTTTTTCTTTTAATTAACATAAATTCATATTTTTATATACGAGTTTGTACATACATATACTTAAAATTATTTTTAATTTCACACTATTTCTCAAGTGAGTACGTAGAAAGGTTAGCCATATTAACATGCTTTTCTTAATATACCAAATTAAAATAAAAGAACAAATTTTAACAGGGCATTGTTCTTACATGTATATGAAAAAGTTGAAAAAGTATGATCACAAACATTATGTTGTCTTTAAAAATATTTTTATTTGGAAAAACTAAAAAAAAAAAAAACAGATAATGTGGACTTTTTTTCCTTTTTAAATTGGATAAGAGACATGAAATCAACTAGGTT